AAGATCATTTGTGGTTAATATAAAGTCAATCCTAGAAAAGGATTGATGTCTATCTGAAAAAAAAGTAAAATCACTTTCCAATACGTTCCTTTCTCGCCAAATATCTCTCAGCTCCATATCCTCCAAAATATCAAAAAAAGATTTAGGCAGCTTAGCACGCATAGATATCTTGGATAAACTTTTTTATCTTTCTGGGTATTTATTACCCCATTCCAATCACCCATTAAAAGTAAAGATCTGTAATCCCATTGTAGTATTTTAGTATGTAAAAATTTAAAAAAATTATCTTGCTGTTGGTTAGGTGCATATATTCCAATTACAAGCAACTTCCCGTTCTGTGTTGTTAATTCAATTGCAATATATCTGCCTTGAGAATCAGCCTCAATTAAATTGGCCAATAGGCCTCTTTTAACATATATAACTAGGCCATTTTTCTTCTCTGGTGCTGATGCCACAAAATGTGTACCTAATTTCGAATTTATCAAGTACTTTTGATCTGAAGATTTAATATGCGTTTCTTGCAAACAAATAACATCATTCTGAAATTGCTTCAAGTAGTGAAATATTTTCTTTCTTTTTTGTGGAGAGTTTAAACCATTGACATTCCAGGATAAAAATTTATTTGCCATCTCTAGGCCCTCCAAGCTTTGAGAGCATCAGCTGAACCTCCTCCGCCATTTTAGTCTTCGGCCTAGCTCCTCCCACTGCTTGCGTTTTTTGGACTTCTTGGGTTAGATCTTGAGGCTGTTGTGTCAGTTGCTGTTTGTAAGTGGCTCTGGCTCTTGTCAATCGTTGTTCTCTTGGCATCTCTATCTTCTTTAGTGGCTCAAGGGTTGGTGGTGGACTCCCACTCAGCAATAAATCTTCTTCCAAGTTAGATCCTCCAGCTAAAGCTTGAGCATAGGTTTGTACTTGCCCTCCATCTTTCTCTTGTTGTGTCATTTCCAATTGCTTTCTATCACCCCCTGGCGAGGGTGGCCGTCCAGCCTTTAAGACATTGGCATAAAAGTCTTTTGCCTTTCCAACTGTGTTTAAACGATGTCTTTGCCCAGCATATGTCACTATTATCCCAAATGGGACATCCCATCTGTACTGCAACTGCTGGTTTCTTAATTCATTCACCAAAAAACCAAACTGCTTTCTGTCTCTTAACATTTTAGGAGGAAGCTCCTTCAAAACCACCAACTCCTGTCCATCCACTTGAATCTTATTTTTGTAAGAAGCTTGCAGGATATCATTTCTAATTCTCCTTGTTGTAAAATAAATCACCACGTCTCTTGGCAGCTGCCTTTTTTTTGCCAGCCAAGAATTAACCCTATAGATTTTGTCAGTTTGAATTGCCACATCTTCTGGCCTTTCTGAAATCATCTCTGCTAAAGCATTAGAACAAATGTCCTTTAAGTTTTTGCCACTCTTTTCTTTCAAACCTCTCAGTCTCAGGGCAAATTCCATTGATCTATATTGTAGCATGACCATTTCATCATCCACTTTCTCTGTTTTTATCATAACCTCTCCTAATTTAGTTGCTAGCTCCGAATTAGCTTCATCAACTTCCCGTACTCTCTCCTCAATCTTTAACATATGATTAGCCAATCCTGAAACTGCAAAAACAATGTCATCTCTTATTGCATCATGTTTTTCCTCCACCACATCTTTAATTTTCTTTAACTCCTCCGAGAATTCTTTCATCATTTCTGCCTGATTATTCAGGGCACCCATTATAAATTCTTTAAGGTCTTGTGACTGTGTATCAGCCGGAAGTTGTTGCTTTTGAGTCACCTCCTCCCCCTTTAGAAGTTGGTGGCTTTAATTGTTTAGCAGCCATTTTATTTTAAAATGAGTTATTCCTTTTACAGCCACAAAGTCTTGTAAACAGTCTTGCAATATTTATTTCAAAGTTTTTCAGAATAGTCAATCCTCTCTCCAGTCTTTTCTCAGTCCCCAGCAATTTTCTCTTCAAGCGGAAGACTCTAAACAAGCAATTTCCCTTTAACTTTCACTTTCCATTCCGCCCATAACAAAAGCTTCCTCTCCAGCCTCCAGCTCAAGAAAGTTCTGTTTGCAACAATGTATACATGGAATTAAGCTCTGTTTCTTTTAAAATGCTTGCACTCTTGCTTCCGCTCTGTCTGCCTCTTTAGTAATCATTGAAACTCACTGTTTGCCGGCAGAATTGGACGCGACGTCTGGCTCAGGCTAGCAGAGACAACACAGATCCGGAACGATGGGAGGGCTGAACTGGGGAGCTCTCACCCTCCGAGTCCCTGGCATTAATCCAGGGACTTTCGGGGAGCTCTACCCACCCCCTCCGACTCTCCTCTCCTTCTTTGCCTGAGGGGAGAGTTTTTTCAAACTGCCGGACAGCAGTTTAGCGCTGTCAGGGCGGTTTTAACAGATCGCGTGGCTGGCGGTCAATTGAGACCTTCCTCAACGTCCGCGGAGCCACCGGAAGTCCTCCCCTGGTCTTTTTCAAAACCTCATGGAGCGGCTGCTCCATGGCCTGCCAGGAGTAGTGCCCTACTTTGACGATGTGCTCATCTTGGCGTCTTGCCGAGATGAGCTCATTGAAAGAGTTAGGGCTGTTCTTCTCCGTTTTCGGTCCTGCGGCCTCAAATTAAAAAAAGTCCAAATGTGTCATCAGGGTTCCCAAAATTGAATTTCTGGGCTATTTGATCGATGCTAGGGGAATCCATCCTACCCCTTCCAAAGTGGCGGCAATCAAACACGCCACCACGCCCACTTGCCGCGCAGAGTTGCAATCCTTCCTGGGGCTATTAAATTTTTATAACATGTTCCTGCCACACAAGGCCTCAGTGGCCGGGCCTCTTCATAGGTTACTGGCCAAAGACATTCCTTGGTTCTGGGGCCGCGAACATGAATGCGCATTTAGGAATGTGAAAGACCTGCTCTCCTCCTCTGCGGTCTTAGTACAATACAGTTCTGCCCTGCCTCTGTCGCTAACTGCCGACGCCTCCCCTTACGGGATTGGCACTGTCTTGAGCCATCGCCTCCCAAACGGGTTAGAGGCACCCGTAGCGTTTTATTCCAGGACATTGTCTGCCACTGAACGTAGGTATAGCCAGCTCGACCGGGAAGCTTTAGCAGTGTTAGCTTCAGTGAAAAGATTTCACGAGTACCTGTATGGCAGATCCTTCGAGCTGGTAACTGACCATAAGCCCCTACTGGGGCTTTTAGCTAGTCATCGCCAGACTCCCCAAGTTTTATCACCCCGTATGGCCCAGTGGGCTGTTTTTTTGGCCGCGTACAATTACACCTTGATTCACCACCCCGGAAAACTAATTCCCCATGCGGATGCCCTGAGTCGCTGCCCCTTACCGGTGCCGGTGTCTGACCCTGCGCCTACCCTACCTGTGCTGTTAGTGAGTGAGGTCGCTTTACCGGTGACCACCACCGTCATCGCCACCCACTCCCGCCGGGATAGGATCCTGTCCCAGGTTCTTGAGTGGGTGGTCAGGGGCTGGCCATTAGGGCAGGTGCCCAGTCAATTTGACCCATACCGTGCCCGTCAGCACGAGCTTTCTGTACAACTGGGGTGCCTCCTGTGGGGAAATAGGGTGGTCGTACCACCGGATCTAAGGGTTAAGGTACTGGAATATTTATACGCTGGCCACCCCGGCATCATCCGCATGAAGGAGTTGAGCCGTAGTTACGTATGGTGGCCTGATTTAGATAAGGAAGTCGCGGACTGGGTGTCGAACTGTCCTGCCTGTCAAGGATCTAGGCCGGCACCACCCTCCTCACCTCCCCGGGAATGGGAAACCCCTAGGGGCCCCTGGTCTAGACTTCATCTAGATTTCGCCGGCCCGTACATGGGCCGGACCTTCTTGATTGCTGTTGATGCCCTGTCCAAATGGGTCGAATTGGATATAATGAATTCCACAACCTCCGAGGCGACCATCCAGGTCCTGCGCCACCTTTTTGCCACCCATAGCGTTCCTGACGTGATAGTAACGGATAATGGACCACAGTTCATGTCCGCCACGTTCCAATGCTACCTTGCCAGTTTGGGCATTCACCACGCCCCCGTTTCCCCTTACCATCCGGCGGGAAATGGTTTGGCTGAAAGGGCCGTGCGATCGGCCAAAGAGGCCCTCGCCCTACTATCTCCGACAAACTGGCAAGAAAAGGTGGCCGCCTACCTGACTGCCCAGCATACGACCCCTTGCCCAACTACGCACAGAAGTCCCACCGAGGTTTTGATGGGACGGCATCTACGGACAGTCCTAGACCAATTATGCCCCGGTGGGGTCCCAGAGTTTGGATAAGGGATCGCAGGTTTTTGTAGAAGGAGATACGGTTTTTGCACGGAATTTCGGGGGGGAGCCTCGCTGGCTACCAGGACTAGTAAGTGCTGTAACCGGCCCCTGCTCTTACAGGATACTTTTGAATGACGGCCGACTGTGGCGTCGACACGTGGACCAACTAAGGAAGCGACTGGCAACGATCCCAAGCGCGCATGACACGGTGACCCCTCGCACGGCCCCCCCGAGCAGAAACTACCCTCCTGCCATCGCAAGCAATCAATCCGCCATCACCGGCACCTGAACATCATGAGTTGAAATGGGACATACCAGTAGTTGTCATCCCAGCCGGTGAGCAGGAGGGGCCATCCGCAGCATCATCTCTGGAAGCTGAACCAGTACACGTAGAGCCGGTGCCTGCGCTAAGACGTTCAACTCGAGCACGCAGGCACCCGGAGTATCTAAAAGACTATGTATGTTATAGTCGGGGATGAAGGAGTGTTGTGATCGCGGCTGCCCGGCAACTGGGATGCCGCCAGCGGATTGGCTAGAGAGGTGTGGTTAACACGCGTGGGAGAGTTACTGTGTTCTCATTGGTTAGTTCACTGACAGCTCGGGGTATAAAAGAGCTGTCAGTGCAGAAGTTGCTGTTCTGTTCTGTCTGTTCGTATCGTTGCTGTTGAGGTAAATAAACAGTTCTTGTTATGCAACCCCCGCCTCATTAATGTCTCAGCTAAGGACAGAATAATTACGGTGTTGTATTCTTTGACTCTGCAGCATCTATTCCGTGCCATGCGCCGTGTGCATTGGAAGGCATCCGCCCGCAGCCAGAAGGTGACTCGCATGGCGCTCACAATCATTGCAGCCTTCTTCATTTGCTGGACACCCTATCATGTGCTGCAGTTGATTAATCTGACAGCCACTCCTTCAGCAACCTTCTTCTACTTGTACCAAGCTACTATTTGTCTCAGCTTTGCCCTCAGTTGTGTCAGCCCCATTCTTGTTATTTTCTGCACTGAGTTTTTCCAGGAGAAGATGGCCCAGTCCAGGTGGGGATAAAGAACTGTAGGTGTCCTGGTGGGAGAGCACAGCTCACTAGAGGGTCTCCAGTCATGATAGAATGGCTAATCTTCCCTCCAGTAATGAGGGATTGCAGCTATATTCCTCCCCAGATCATCCCTTCCTATGCTGAGAATTATAGGTACCATCATCCAATGCATTTGAAAGGTGTGGGTTGACTGTTCTTTCTAGAAATTGATTCATGTATTGTGGAAAACTTCCAAAATAGCAATAGCACTTAGACGTATAGTGCTGTACGGTGCTTTCTCTTTAAACAGTTTACAGAGTCAGTATACTGACCCCAACAATCTGGGTCCTCATTTTACTGAACTCAGAAGGATGGAAAGCTGAGTGAACCTTGAGCCAGTGAGAATCGAACTGCCAATCTGCTTGCAGTCAGCAGAAGTAGCCTGCAGTATTGCATTCTAATCACTGCACCACCATAGCTTGTAGGAGTCTGCAGTCTGCATATGTGCAGGAATTTTTCCTATCTTGGATGGCAAACCTCAGATAGGGAAGGTTACTTGCACGTAGGCGCCAGGAAATGGCATTAGAAGATAAAGACCCTAACTCTGTAAATAAGAGGAACAGGAGGAGAGGAAATGGGATATATGTGTTAGAATTTAACCATAGCTAAATATTAGAAGTGCTTAAGCAAGCAATAAATGGTTAACCAAAGATTTTAGTTACCTGGAAGATTCAGTGAGCCAATGATATTCTGCCAAGTACGCTGTAACTTGAAAGTAACAAACTATATAATGTCACTATGTAAGGCAATAAACTACCACATTTATCCTCAACCTTTGTGTGTGTGGTCACTCAACAATAGCTCTTATAAATAAATGTAATAAGCTGATATCTTCTATTTTTTCATAGGTACTGCAAGTGTCTCACTAGGTGGACAGCAATACGGGAACATCTTTCTTTTTCTAATGCAGAAATCACAACTACCATGTATAGTCCACAAGTGAGCTATTCTGTGTCTCCGTACAGCCACCATCACTTTGGGATAGAAATACCATTACATTCCAGCTACAGTATAGCTGTCAGTGGGCATGGGGAGTGTAATGGATCTTAAGATTGCCCTATATGATTATTGATTATTTGGATTTAAACTGAGGGTATTTTTCCTGAAAATAAATGCTTTTCATATGGTCTTCGTATATGAACACACAAGAAAGTCGCTGTTGTGATGAAGAATCATATGAAGAGAAAGCAAAATGGACCATTGGATCCTTGAATTCGAAAAGTAGAGGGGCACTGAGATAATGAACTCCCAATAATTGTATTCTATCAATATGTTGACTGTCTACTCATGGAACTTATAATACTCCAACACATCTTTCTAATATGTTCTTCTTCCAAAAGTGATTTCCCTCTGTCTAAGGGCTTTTCTGACAGACTTTCCAGGCAATCAATTCTTCCATGTCTTGCTGAATATGTATTTTTTCAAGCTGAGATAACAGTTTTTACTTGTTACCTGAAGAAATAAGCTACTTATAGTTGTAAAGAACTTTTCTGTCTGCCTTGTAAAACTGAATTTGTGAAATTAATGCAGTTGAGTTTTCTAAGATCAGGTTAGAAAATTGAAAACCTGTGAAAATAATGATACCGGTTGCCAAAAACACAGTGCTGTTTAGCATCTTTTATGTTTCTCACAATTGAATATATTATGGAAAATTAATGCTACTCTGCCATTTGCACATGAAACCAGCTTCAGTGTAAATCCTTCTTCCTGCTCAGTGCAAAATCTGTTAATGTAGGATGCAAATGCACCATTTTTTTTAAAAAAAATTGATTTACATGCCGCCCTTCTCCAGAGACTCAGGGCGGCTTACAATGCATTAAGCAATAGCCTTCATACTTTTGTATATTTATACAAAGTCATCTTATTGCCCCCATAATCCGGCTCCTCATTTTACCTACCTTAGAAAGGATGGAAGGCTGAGTCAACCTTGAGCCTGGTGAGATTTGAACTTGCAGTAATTGCAGACAGCAGATGTAAATGGATGTTAATAACAGTGCTTTAGTCTGCTGAGCCACCAGAGCTCTCAACCAACAGGGATAATTTATTACCTCCCAAGTTCATGCTGTCTAATGGAGAGATCTAAAGACCTTGAAAACTTGCATATGATTTGGTAATTTGATTAGTAAAGGTGCCGTTCTAAAACAGACTGGAATTTTTCTTATAATTAATATGGATATCTTTATTTTGTGTGGGTATCTGGGTGAGAAATGAAACTCTAAGTAAATAAAATCTAAGAAAATATTAGCTTTATATATGCCTTTCCTCCAATTCAGACACAGTAGTTGATAGAGCAATGTTTATCAGCTTTAACTACATTAAAATAGGTGGATTTCAGCTCCCAGTATTCTCCTACCAGCATGTTTTAATTTGGATGGACTTCAACTCCTGGAATTCCCTTGTTAGCATGCTGGAGGGGGAATTCTGGAGTTGAAATCCACACATCATACAGCTCCCTACACTGAGAAACATTGATCTAACTCAGCAGGGCTGTCGTCTGCACCCACTTTCATGTTTCCTTCATTCAGCCATGGAGATGCCAAGCAGAAAAGAGCTTCCAGCGGGCAGGGTGCTCAGATTGGGGAAAAATACTTTTTGGCAGTGGTTTACTCTCCAGGCTTGTTTCAATTTAGTTTCTGACCATTTCATTGCCAGATTAGGTAACATAATCAGTGGGATTCTTTTATCCTATTCCCCTAAGCTTATTAATGTCTTGTGTGTCAGAATGGACAACCAGATGGATTTCCGGGTGATGTCGCGGCGATATCAGACACAGAGAACGGGGCTCTGTGTTCTCTGTGCCGAAATCTCTCCTGTTTGTGGGTTCTGAGAGGAGCCAAAGCAGGGGTGAAATCCAGCAGGTTCTGACAGGTTCTGGAGAACCGGTAGCGGAAATTTTGAGCAGTTCGGAGAAACGGCAGCAGAAATTTTGAGTAGTTTGGAGAACCGGCAAATACCAGTCTGGTTGACCCCAGAGTGGGGTGGGAATGGAAATTTTGCAATATCCTTCCCCCAGGAGTGGGAAGGAATGGGGATTTTGCAGTATTCTTCCCCTGCCACGCCTGCCAAGCCACACCACGCCCACCAAGCCACGCCCACAGAACCGGTAGTAAAAAAATTTGGATTTCACCACTGAGCCAAAGTGAGATCACAGAGAGTCGCAGCTGTCCTTTCTGACCCAGGGTTTCTTTTCCCTCTCAGCCATGGTGAGGAGAAGAGGCAGCCTAAAGATGGCCGCCACAAAGCTGGGACAACTGAAAAACAACGATGACTGGTGCTGGAGCGAAGTAGATGAACTGTGACTCGAACTGGGGGAGAGGATTTTATTTAGCCTTAAACCCTTAAACCCCAAGGAATAATTTAGAACTATTGGCTCAGAACTATTTGTTAAAGTGGCGTCTAAGCATTCTGAGAAATTACCAGATTGGAAGTGAAAGATGTAAGAGAAAAAATTATAAATTTTGAAACATACAAAAATTGGACTCTTAAATTGAGAAGACATGGTACTGGGAAGGCATTTTAAAATGCTGGAATCATTTATTTACAAATCTTATTCTGCTTTTATAATGGATTTATAGCTAAAATGACGATTGACTATTGACAATACTGAAATTTAAGTTGAGAGTGCCACTTGCTGACAAAAGGAAAAGTAACAAGTCTGGGAATACCTATATGAAGGACTGAAAATATTTACTGGATTATCCCTAACTCTACCCCATGACTACTGGAGACTCAAATACGAAAATAAGGAAGCTATCTAATTAAAGGGACCCCTGAATGTTATGCTAGAAGATTGAACCTGTAAAGGGAACGCAAAGAGGCTTTGGATAAACTCTGGGAATTGATTGTATACCTATGGGATATAAAGAGCTGTGATTAGTGCACTCCTTGAAGGGCAATTTAAGGACTGAAGAAATAATTCTTGGCCTGCTGGATAAAAGTTGAACTGTTAAAAACAAAATAAGATGCTTTATAAGGAAGAAATTAGTGAAATTTAGAAGGCAATGGTGTTATTTTTTCAAAACACAAAGGATATAATGGAGAAAGGATTTAAGCAGATTATGGAAAAAATGGAAAATACTATATGAGGGATGATGAGTAAAGACCAAGATGCCCAGGAAAAGAAGGAGCCAACAAAAGAAATGGAGGAAAAGATTGAGCTGAAGAACCAGAGAACAAAAGAATATGATAAGGAGATAACAATGAAAATAACAGTGACTGATGAATTAAATGAGGGAGAAAACATATTAAAAGAGTTGAAAAGAGAATTGGAGATACAGGAAGATACTCTTGAAAGGGAGATAGAGGCCTGGGTAGAAATTTTGGAAACTAGGCAGTGGAAGAGGGTAGAGGTGGGAGAAACACCTAGATTGAATAGCCAAGAAGCAGATGCAGACAGGGATAAAGATCCAAGGGAGGAATATGGGAGGCAAGTCAAAAAAAAGCATAGCAATTGAAGTATTGAAGCGGACAAGAGATGATGGATAGATGATTTCTCCTTTTTGTTCTGATTTGCTTTTCTTTTTCTCTCTCTTTGCTTTTTTTAGGTAGGTGACATGATTAGAAGTTAGGTAGGATAGAAAAAACTTTTTTAATACAGGGTGACATGACTAAATGTTAGAATAAGAGATAGAAATAAGAGAAGAGGGAATATTAGTGTATATATCTTTATATAATAAAATAAAAGTAATGAGAAAACAAAGAATTGGATAATGACAGATTGCAATTTAATGTAAATGTGTATTATTAATAGAAATATATGTTGATTGAATGAAATAACTATGATTAGTTCTACTAGCTTTATTTGTATTAGAATGTATGACACCCAGGTACCACACTGTTCATGCATTGATGTTTGTAAAAAAAAAAACCTTAAAAAAAAAAGAATGGTCAATCAGACCATTTGAAAACCAATCGAGGAGAGAACCTATCAGCTGCTCAGAAATTAAATATAACTCCAAAGAACAACTAATCACATAACCAACTGACCAAACTGGCACAGAAGACATTTATAAGCTAAGGAGAATAGGACAAGAAAATCTTGCTGACGATGTTACCTAGTCTGGTAATGAAAGGTTCAGAAACTAAATAGAAGCAAGCTTGGAGAGCAAACCACTGCCAAAATTTAAAACTCGAGCTACAAGTATTTTCAATTATTTAAAAAAATATTTTTTTCCTGGTGTTGCACCCTCCTGGAAAAAGGATGCAACTTTGGAAAAAGCGACACGTCTGAGCAATAGACCTGGATCCCTTGCCCTGACTCGGATCCCTATTGCTGCCAAGACCTCCTTTGAATCGCTCTTTGCTCTTCCATTCCTCGACTTTTCAACAAACTCTTGCAACTAACCAATAAAGGAGAATATTTATAGCTCAGGGTTGAAATGAGGGCTCCTTGGTGCCCTCTGAGCTTGGTGATTTTTGGGGGGAGACGTTTCATTATCAAACTAGGCAACCTCATCAGTGCTCAGCTCAGCACCTAGTTTTGATAATGAAACGCCCGTAAGAAAACCACCAAGCTCAGAGAGCACCAAGGAGCCCTCTCGCAAATAAGCCCGTTCAACAACATTCGCGTGGGAAGGGGGGGGGAGGATCCCCTAAAACAGCCCAAGGAGTCCCCTTTTGTTTGTGTGTGTCTAAAAGCGCTTCCTTCTAAAGCTCAGCCAAACCACAGAGAGGCGCGGAGGAAAACTTTTTATCGGGAACGGTAGCTCACACTCAACCGGAAGTTGACCGGGGAAACATTCGGGACAGGACCGGAAGGGGCGTGTCGATCACGTGACCGCATTGCCCTTAGGGTTAGGGTTGCCCTGACAGCAGAATCGCCTTCGCGGGTTCGCTCAGGCAAGGCGGCGGCGGCGGCGGCGGCAGCGGGGGGGTGGGGGGCGGGGGGCAGTTCTTGCCTCTTTCCCGGGAAAGGCGAGTGGGGCCTCCGCGTCCGGACTCGCTTTGTCCCCGCCTGCCTCATGGAGCGCTCCGGGGCCATGACGGACATGTACGACCAGGCGTTGCTGGGGATTTTGCAGCATGTGGGCAACGTCCAGGAGTTCCTGAACATCCTCTTCGGCTTCCTCTACCGCAAGACCGACTTCTACCGGCTGTTGATGCAGCCCTCGGACCGGCTGGGCTTCCCGCCTGGCGTGGCCAAGAGCATGGCCGTTCGGGTAAGCCTGGCTGGGTCCCTCTCCCCGCCGGCCGATTCTGCTTTGGACGCCCGAATTTTGTCCTCTCCTGCCGGGTGTTTTAGGCAGCCTCTCAAATCAAAACCCCAGGATGGCCCCGTGAAGTAGGCCAGGCAGAGAGAGCTGAAGTGGGGCGAGGAATTTAGTTCAAACAGGTTGCGGGAACTGGGCTGTTAAACCGTGAAATAATTGGTTGGTTTGGATTGGGCACTCGGTGTGAAGACAGTCATGGTGTTTTATTGATTGAGATTCAGAAGTTGTGGGTGCTCCAACACTGGTCGCTTTTAAGAACAGATTGGACAACCTTTGTTTGAAATGGTATAGGGTCTCCTGCTCCAGCAGGGGGTTAGACTAGAAGACCTCCAAGGCCCTTTTATTATTCTGTATTCAGATCGGAGCATAGGTTTTTACCTATCTTTAATAGTGTTAGCTACCCCCAGTCTTGTATTTCAGATTGATCGGTGGCTATATAAATCTAATATATAAATATGTGGCCTGGCTGCTGGATTCATAGTGTGCTACATGAAAATGGATTGTACTGTACAATATAGGACAAACTGAGGCAGTTAAGACTTAAGCACAGACCATGGCTTGGGATAGTGTATATAGCAAAAACTGGCTATCGTTAGTATGATTTATGCTGAATACAATAAATGTTTGGATCCAAGTATGTTTATGAAATAGCCGTATCAAGTTATGAGTAGGAAGAGATTCTTCAGGGTGGCTAATTTGGTGTTTGGGAAGTGCAGTTATAGGGCAGTGGCAGACCTTTATTAACCTTTTACTCTGCATTTTTCTTTAAATCCAAATAACTCAATTTTCTTTATCCATAATGGACTTTGTCCCTCCTTTACACTCACCATAAAATGCACTGGATTCACTGCTTATGACTGTCAGACAAGTAGATAAATACTCGTTCTTAGAGCTGATCTGACACATAGAGCAATACTGTTATCTCCTTGAAATTGAAATGCAGTGTGTTAGCTAATCTCTAGTGATGGTCTGTAGGTTAATTATTGGGTTGTTGCTTGATTGCTGCATCACTTTCAGGCATTCAAAACCTTTGAACATCTGGCCCGCCAAGATGATGAGAAAAGACAGCAAGAAATTGAGGGGAAGTTGAAGAAAAGAGAGGCGGACATGGTGGCTGCAGGAGAGAGAACAAAGGTGCCTCCTGCTGTTGAGGAGGTTGAAATCACCTCGGCAGTGGAGCAGGACTCTGGATTGGAAAGTGGAAAGGCTGCAGATGCAGAGGAGCCTGTAAAAGCAGAAGAAACCATAGAAGCACAAGTTGCTGATACAACAGCAGAACTTCCGGTATCTGTTGCTGCCCCTGTAGAAAGTGAACAAACAGAATTCCCCAGGTGAGTGGCTCTAGTGGTGCTTGGTCCACGTCAAAGAGTTAGTGACAAAGCGCAGCCATAGTGACCTAGTAAACTTGGGATAGGTTTGCCTTTGCTAAAGAGGAAAGACTATTATGGAAACACATTGGTGAACAAGCCATGGTCTTGCTGCTTTAAGTGACTGATTATGTACCATTGTGGTAGTTGTATATTAAAATGCACAGTACTTCCTACCTTTTTTCTGACCATGTGGCTTTTGTGGGAATTCTAATAATCGAGCTTAATCTATGCAGTAGCAGTCTCTGAATGGCAAAAACAGATCTCAGCAGTCAAAATCTTGGAAATCTGCCTTTTATCTACAGTAGTCAGACTCTGTTCACCTAATCCAGAATAATGTATTCTAATTTGGCAAACCTTTCTTTCAAATCTATTTAATTTTTGTTTTGCGCTCCCGATTTTTAAAGTTTTCCATTTGCTGTAACATCCATCCCTAGCTTCTGAGATAACATTAACATATTGGGTTTTTATTTCTACAAATACATAGTGACGAAACTGGAAAGCTGTTATACACATTTAAAGGCAATATATAAGAGATATGTCAGTAATATGGGTTATTACAACATTGAGAAGCCAACATGTGACAAATATGTTTGCCTGGTAACTGCTTAAAATTGCTGTTCTAACCATATACTGGTATATAATGAAGTTAGCCTCTCAAAATTAGCAAGTGTTGTAAGTGTTGAGATATATAGCTATAAATCATGTGATTTAGTATCTAACTATTCCACAATTCATGGGGCTGACAATTACTTTAGACATGTTGAGTCACCTGAATCTCTGTCACTTTGTTTTCTTTGGCTTGCAGGATTTTGGGGCACTATTAAGAGGGAAGTAGATATCATCTACAGTGTCTATTAATACAACACCCATTTTGTGGCTGAGATTTTATGGTTCACAAATCTCAAATCCTGTACTCGGAGCAAAAGGCTTGGCAAGACAAAGTTACTATTTTACTATGAAATTGTTGCTTACATCCAGTTGTTCAACCTCTTTTATGTAATCTGTGGTTTAATGATAATCTGGCTCTTCTTGTGATTTTTAAAAACTAATAAAATGTATAATACTACATGAATGAACAATAAAGGTAACATTGGCTTTAAGTCAATGTTTAATTTATGGTGTTAATAGTACTGTACTGACTTAGTTATTATCAAATTGAAGTAATGAGTGAGACATTTGGATGTCTGGAACAATTCCTTAAAAATGCATTATCACTCTCTCCTGCTTATGGATAGTAGCAAGTAATATCAGATTTAAAATCCAAGTTTCAAATAGGCAGTAATATAGTTTGCATTGTGATGTCACTTTATAAATGTCTTCCTATCACGTTATCACTTTATTGGATGCATATAAAATTGTTCTAAAGTAGTGTGCAGATTTCTTAAAATACTGGTATTTAAAACAGCCATTTCCCCAATTAAGTTGGAAAACACCTAGCCAAAAGCCTATTTAGCTGAAATTCCATTCTTTAGCATCCAAGCACTATTCTATATTAGAGATGTTTAAAAGGATTATGTGATTGTAGTATTAGACTAAGCATAGTGAGATCAATGTTTGTTAATTCACCCTTACCCTGGCAGCTCACTGTGATTTTGAGTTGACTACTTTCTCTGAACACAGACTACCAGAGAAGGTGGTTGCTTCAAGAAAAGATTGGAGAAAAGAGCCACTTGAAATGAATATAGGTAAAACAGCTCTTGAAGTGACATGTATACCTGGAAGTAAAATGGGCTTTGAAATGTCTGTAAAACTGTAAAGAGATGTTGCTATAGGAACTGGTTTTCTAATTAAAGAGGGTGGGGCATTTTTGATCTGAAACCATGCTGACTTTTAATGTAGTTGTCAAAAGCAGAACAAGAGGGCTTCCAAATTTTGATTTAGCTATTGCCTCAACCTGTAAAACATAGTTTGGAATACATGGTGGCTTTACAATCTGTTTTCCAGAAAGTAGAACTCTTGAAATGGTTGGTATTTCAAAAGGAAACTTTTATATCAGAGAAAGTGATAGCAAGACAAAGAAGGCAGGATCTGAAGATTCCAGCGCAAAACCTTTAGGTTAAAAAGGATAGAGACCACTCCCCTCAGTCCAGTGCAGAACAAGCCAATCCCCAGATGCAAAGTTGTTTTGAGAACTTCAGGCTGAGAAGGTGATAAGAAGCTGTTCTCAGGCGTCACTTGCTGAGATAAAACAAATGGCTCTCTAGCCATTTCCTCCCCCCCCCCTTACATTCCCAGGAAAGTAAATCAAAGTACAGGATAGGCATGCAATAGGAAAAAGGTTATAAAGTGAGGAATGCATCCAGGCCTTCCCCACCAGAACCTGGTGGGGAAGGACCTGACATGTTGTATATTTGAATCAAATTTATAAATTAACAGTACAGATTTCATGAAAAGTTAGGCTAGTACAGTATGTGATTATCTGTTGCCAAAGCACTCATGATCAGGGTTTTTTGATGACTACACACAAATGATCTTTGCTGCATACATCTCAGAATTATAGTACCTTTTTCAATGCCTCCACTTGGTGGTGTCAGTGTCCACTTAATGCATCTTCAAATGCATATTAAAGTACTGTATTTTTGAACTCTTCTAAGCTTCCCTCTAGACATTCAATCTAAAAGCTTGGCTGATAAGATGCTATGAATAATGCATTTTTGAATACAGATTGATGCAAATTGAGATACAGTGTGATCTCCATCTGTTTAGCTGAAGGTAGTAAGTCTCAGTGATGAAAAACAGGAAATAGTTAATAAATAAAGGATGGAATCTTGCCTCTTCCATGTTGTTCTTGTCACTTTGGAAGTGTTAAACAAAATTGCTCATTATTTCTGTATGTCAAGTTCTAGTCCAAATCAAGTCTATATTAAGTGAAAAATTATGCATGATTACTTGAAAGCAAATGCCATTAAGATGGGAGGTACATGGACATCAAGTTCAGAAGTGTTTACATTTTACCTTTTTCAGTATTTTAGATTCAAACATTTATCTTTTTAGATTAACCCCAATATATGATATATTACAGTAAAGTAAAACTTGATGGTTTTCTACCTTTCTACTGGAGATGAGATATTTTTGGATAATTTTCCCAAATATTTTATGACTTTAAGAAAGGCAGTGAATATCTGTTTTTGTGGAATATTCCACCCTTCAAAATAACTGAAAACATTGTATGAAGCAACATTCTGAGTGGGAGTGGGCAGGATGGCAAAGGCTGCGCTCATCCACTGTGGGCTTGACCTGCAAAAGCCCAGCGTGTACTGCAAATCCTGGAGAGATGCTGCAAGTCAGTATAGAGCTGTACTCGGCAACATGGAGAATATTTGTAGCTCAGGGCTGAAATGAGGGGGTCCTTGGTGCTCTCCGAGCTTGGTTGTTTTCTTGCAGACGTTTCATTACCCAATCAATGCATTGGATAATGAAACGTCTGCAAGAAAACAACCAAGCTCAGAGAGCACCAAGGACCTCCTCTTCGGTAGCTTTTGAAAACTAAATACTGTATTCCTCTTTCTGGTTCTGCATTGGACAGCTAGCTCCAACTCAAAAGGGAGCTTGGCTTTTCATTTTATTTACCCTTCCAACACTGTATGCCAACTTTGGTAGATGCACTACAGCTCTTTAATACAGAATCAATATGATCCTTTCTACTCTTTCTGCTTCTCATACTATAATGTAATACTTGAGCACATCAGTTAAATAATGCTGAGCGTTATGGAATTCAATGTGACAATAGATAAATTTCAGTTGCTGAGCCCTATTAATTTGGTTTAACCCTCTGCACCATCCTTCATGGCAACAGACAGTCAGTGGTCCCATGTCTCCAAGTTCTGAACAATGAGAGGGAAGAGTTGTCTATTTCATTGCCATCTGGTTGGTGCAGAGCTGTTCTTTACACCCTTTCTTCTGGGCTCAGATATTTCCATCTGTTTTGACAAGTAGTTCTCTTCATTCTCTATGTCTGAGCTCATCTGCTTTTTATTTTGAGTGCCCGCCTTCTCACTTAGCCCACTTATAGACTTGATTCTGCATACATTTGCCTGGCAGTATTTAAAATAAAGTTGCATGTGCCGCTGAGCTTCCTGCCTTCTTATTTCTATTTATGTTCTTTGACACGGATTCTAAATTCTTTTCTTTTCTTTTTAACATGCATAGCTGCATTCATCCACTTGTTCTTTTTGTTGGTATAGCCAACACTTGAGAAGAAAGCCCTTTTACCTGATAAATAGATCTGGCCTGGAATTAATAGATTGTGAGGAAGTCTTTGATAGAAAATTGAATAAATGGTAGAATAAATTTGTATTTAATTTAGAAAATTTAAAAAATTTAAATTGTGGAAAAGTATTAATAAATTAACATCTGTACCATACAAAGAAAATGCTTATAAACTGTTCTATAGGTGGCATCTAACACCGGCACGAATTTCTAAAATGTTTCCCAGTACATCTCCACGCTGTTGGAAATGTAAAGCGCATAAAGGGACATACTATCGTATATGGTGGTCATGTCCCAAAGCTAAAAAATCCTGGAACAATATAAAAATGCAACTGGAACAAATAATAACTCAAAAGGTACCATTAAAACCAGAAACTTACTTATTAGGAATACCTACAAGCAAATATGAAAAAGAAATAATATATTTAATAACACACATTTTGACTGCAGCAAGAATCATATACGCACAAAATTGGAAACAAGAAGAGGTCCCGACTCAAGAGAAATTAATATCCAAAATTATGGAATGCGCTGAGATGGATAGACTTACCAAGGAGATCCAAGGAAAGGAAGAATCTGAATATTATCTGGTCTGGCAAAAGTGGTATAAATGGTTAGAGGGAAGTGAAAAAAAAGAGAAGAAGAAAGAAAGAAAAATTAAATAAAAGAAAAGATATCAATAGAATAAAATAAATTTTTACATCAAATGAAATTTAAGAAAGAGACACCAGATATCAATAAAATAATATCAT